GACGTAAGTACGTACGTACATACAGACAGACAAGGGTAAAACTTAATGCCCCCTCCGCTACGGTGGGGGCATAAGAAACAAACAACCAAGCCAATCATCGAACAAGAAATGAATGTAACAGGATGCTGTTACGAAGTCTCCCAAACGAAGCTCCCATAATTCGTAATTCCCAGGGTCGCCTGACATTGGGCAACTTCCAGTGAAAATTGGTTTGGTCCAGTAAAGTTATATGCATTAGTGATGCCTGGGGACTAACCTTGTATATCATTCAAATCATCTTGGCATGACAAACCAGAATATATATGGTTAAGGGGTGGGGATCTCGACCATTTACAAGATACTAGAACATTGGGGGTGGGGAGAAACCCCTGGGGACTGGCCCTATACGTCATTCAAATGTTCATTACATGACGAACAGGAATATATATGGTTTAGGGGTGGGGATCTCAACCATTTACAAGATATTAGAACATTGGGGGTGGGGGGGACCCCTGGGGACTGACCGTATACGTCATTCAAATGTTCGAGACATGACAAATAGGAATATATATGGTTTAGGGGTGGGGATCTCAACCATTTACAAGATATTAGAACTTTCTCAAATGGCAGGGGGTGGGGGTGATCCCTGGGGACTAACCCTGTATTTCATTTGATGTGCTTTATCATGACAAACCAGAATATATATGGTTTAGGGGTGGGGATCTCGACCAATTACAAGATATTAGAACTTTCTCAAATGGCAGGGGGTCAGGATGACCCCTGGGGAATAACCCTGTATATCATTCAAATCATCTTAGCATGACAAACCAGAATATATATGGTTTAGGGGTGGGGATCTTGACCACTTACAAGATATTAGAACTTTCTTAATTAGAAGTTTTACATTTTTCATTTCAGAGTCTTTTATAGCTTATACTATGCAGCATGGGTTTTGCTCATTGTTGAAGGCAGTACAGTGATCTATAATTGCTTACCTCTATGTCATTTGGTGAAGAGTTGTCCAATTGGCAATCATACTACATCTTATTTTTATATAAACAAGAAATTAGGTGTTGAAGATCACATTCTATATTAGTTTGCAGTATAAAAGTATTGACAGCATAAGAACAATGGTTCTAGGGCAAATAAGATATAAGCCCAATCTCAAATTCCTACCCAAGATTTACTTTTGTATAAAACCTTGGACTATTATACTAAGGCCATGCAAAAAAGATTGTTGGTTTCCCCATACCCTGACGGGTCTGATTTTACCCTCCAGGTATTTTTGTTTGTTTAAAGGTGAAAATGAGAAAGAACAAGACTCTCTTTTAAGACAATTATCATTATTATACTTCATGTTAAAATGCCAGATTTTGATTGGTTAATACGAGGGAGACAATTTACTCTATCCCATGGCAAATACTCTATTACCCTTCAAGGAGACGCTTGCTCAAGTGTGCGCTTTAATAAACGCGGATGATTGTTATGTACAAGACGACATAGTTTATTACTTTGAATTTGAAATTTAATAGACAGTAATAACAGAACATTCAGTATAATAAATTAAATAACACATATCTGAGAGGGTGATAGAGCAGATTGTTACTCCTCGAAAAGACATTGTCAACCTTGGCTTCGCCTCAGTTGACAATGTTTTCTCGGGGTAACAATCTGCTCTATCACCCTCTCAGCTATGTGTTATGTATATAATGTTGCTTTAATAGACCACTTTCGAGTTATGTCCTTCACTGGAAAGGTTCGTCAAATATGCTGGCCTTTATGACGTCATTTACCAGATAGAGGTGATCGGCAATATCCCTACACTATTAAAGTTCATCAAGCGCCTTCGTGATCATCATTATGCAGGATGAACTAGAAATAATGTTTGTTCTGTAGGTACTTAATCACAATTTCCTAATGACAGCAGTGCTGATTATCAATTATGAGAATTTAATTTGCCAAATAATTCGTGCAATATAGCATCATATTTTTTCAACCGCTCGCTCAACATGTGAAGGAAGTGACGATGCCCCTCAATGCACGAATGATGTTCACTAAAACCAAACGAACTCAAAAGTGGTCTATTGTCTGATAATTATTTAAAACATGTTTTATTTATTATTCTTAAAGTTTAAAACAGCTAATATATATCACAATGTCATATTATCAATGATATTTTCATTCCAAAATTTCAGTTGTTTAACATGTTTAAGAAAATTCTCTGTAGACATGGTAGACGAAACTGCATGTGCTTTGCTTGATTTTTTCGTCCCAAAAAAAATATAAAATAAAAAAATATTTCTGCCTGCCAACCCATTAAAATTTTGGCACTGGCTACCATTATGTTGAAAAGTAACAATAACAAAAAAGTTATTGTTAAGTTGGACACTAATTGCAGGAATGCTAGGTCATGTAGGTTTGGTTAGGAATTGATTAATTACAAATGTAACAATAATATTTGTGTCTACGGTTACGTTGCGTTATTGTTAAGTAGATTTATCAAACTTTTAATTGACTTTACTTTTGTTGTTTGTTGCTGAATTCTCCTATATCATGTATATGCTTTATAACTATTATTATTATACTTTATGCAAATTTTCATATATTATCCATTCATTTCATTGGACACACAGTATTTGTTAATTTTCACTAATCTTTCATAAGCCCCGCCCACCAATAGCAACATGTGATAATATTAGCAACGGGTGTTAATGCCTAAAATTAACACCCGCTGGGCCCAAACTTTGCCGATCAGGAACAATCATGACAATTGACACCCACTCTGGCCAAGGTTTACAGATTCTTATTTCTACATCATTTCCGTCGTTTTGTTGTTGTCATTAGTAAATTATCTTAATTTATGACTTTATTTTTTTACAATTGTTCTTCATAGTGCACACTTGAATCATAAGGCATTCAGTATGATAAAAAACATACTGCTCTTGGATGAAGGTGTTAGGGTGATTAACACACTCAGTGAAGAAATTATCACCCGTGACTTTGTCTTGGGTGATAATTTTTTCCCTCGTGTGTTAATTTACCCCAACACCTTTATCCAAGGGCAGTATGTTTATATTATTATAATTATTATTATTATTATTATTATTATTATTATTATTATTATTATTATTATTCAACAAATAATGTTTAAATAGTTTTTAAGTTTAAATTATTTTAATAATCTTCATGATAATACTACAGTTTATTAGTGCCAGAGGCAAAGAATATACCAGTAGTTCAATGGTTCGATGTTTAGAAGAAAAGTATTCACTTCTACATGCATGTATTTAACTGCACACTTACCCTTATTACTGTCATTATACTTTGAACAATGGACGAAGTTGTTCCCAATTCCAAATTCTCTTTGAGTGAAATATTAAAAACTTTGGATGCGTTTGAATAAAAAAAGAAAGAAAAAAAGTTTAAATTTTTATACAGTTACATGTATATAAACGAAGATCTCGAAAAATTAATAAATCAAAAGCAGTGAACTAAAATATTGTGAACTTGTGTATGTCAGAAGATGTGGTATGATTGCTGCATTGCCAATGAGACAACTCTCCACAAGAGACCAAATGACACAGAAATTAACAAAACTATAGGTCACTGTACGGCCTTCAACAATGAGCAAAGCCCATACCGCATAGTCAGCTATAAAAAGCCCCGAAATTGCAAATGTAAAACAATTCAAACGAGTATGCATGTATCCATGGAGGACGTAATTTCATTTCAAAATCAGAAGGAGTACGTCCAAACCAAAGGTAGGTTTTTCTTCCTATATAAATATCAATTGATCAAAAAATCAATATGAATGACATAACTTCAAAAGGGGAAATTGCAGTGGAACTGTGTTGTGTGCAAAATCTACGTGCACATTGCTGCATCACTCCAAAAAATGCGTCCAACTAAAAAATGCACCCAAAAGCACACATAAGATGTACAAAAGCTGCCATTGTAAATAAAATATATAATCTGTATGCAATATTCATGATATTGTATACTATTGAATTGTTTACAAATAAAAGTTTGCAAGTTGTTTTTTAATATATATTACATACATATGGGATGTATATTACCTGGGAACAGTATATCTAACGGGAAATGAATCTGATACGCTTTTCAGTATAAAATTGATAAAATCTCGGACTCCCCGAGACTTCCCAAGATTTACGGATTTTGGTAGCGTCTGACTGAAAAACTATCAGAACTGCTCAACAAATAAACCACATACATTTAACTCTAATTGTAAATAAATACAAGTTTTATCATTTAGTAGATATATTTTGTCATATAAAATTACCAAAATAAGTTTGATTTATTTGATGTGAAGTGTTTTATAATAGTTTGGGAATTTGTAAATCATCGCGGCAATGGCCGCCATTTTTTTATTACCTGGTTTGCATTCTGCACAATTCTGTGATGAAATGCTTGCGATTTTAACAAATTTGAAGTGACAGAATACAAGTTTGATACACTAGCATCACTATAAAACTAGTTTCAATGACATTTTATTGATAATATCAAAAATTATTAGGATAATAGCGAGTCCGTTTTTTACACATGTCCGTTTCTGTATCGTATCTTTATTAACTATGGCACGACGATAAAATCGACTACAATCAGGTAGTGTCAAGTCCCGTCAATATATATGTTCCTGATATTACTATTCCCAGCATATATTGAAATGCATTAACGTAACTGACAATAACACCACATAACCTTACACACAAATATTATTGTTATGTTCATAATTAATCGGTTTCTAAACCAACCCAGCATTCCAGCAATTAGTGTCCAAACGTAACAATAACTTTTTTGTTACTGTTACGTTTTCAACGTATAAATCATAGTTAGTGCCTAAAATTGTCTTGTATTAGGGGAAACAAACAAATCATAGTTAGTGCCTAAAATTGTCTTGTATTAGGGGAAACAAACATTCAGTTTTCAATGGCCTAATATTAGTAATAACTACTAGTCCGAGATAAACTCAAAAGGGTTCACTATAAACTCTTCAGATCTACCTGTTTAATATGTGACAATGATTTTAATTCTTTCAGTGTTGTAGTATGAGGCTGTTTAAGTCATATAATTAAAATTCCACTGCTAACAGAATCTTTTTTTCAGCTTGTCAACTAATATAACTTGTAATCCTCTGTGAATATTTTGTCAGTACATAACGATTATAATTTGTCACACTCTAGTAATATGAAATTAGGTAAAACACAGTATCTTAATTAATTCATAGATGGCAGAATTAATCGCTTTTTATCTTCTTAGAATTTTCAGGAATTTCCAAAACTTGAAAACCCAAGTAAACTCCTATTTTTACGCTAAGGGTTATCTAAGAACGCGTGCATTGGTCCCGTAAGATGTTTTGACACTGTAAATGCGTTATTTTAAAATGTACGATTATCAATTCATATAAAACTTTACCTGTGCAAACTCAAACAATTTTTAACAACTTTTTTATTCTTCATTTAATTTAATTATTGATATGTTGTTTCGACATAAAGAAACATATCATACATACTAGGTCATATTAGCATACCATTCTTTTGATTTGCATTTTGTTTTATTTACATTATTTGTCATGTTGTATATGTCATGTATGTTGTACACTTGGATTACGCAATATCATAATTATCATATGTGCTTTATACAATAAAATATTTGAATTTTAATTTGAATATATCTAGAGTTTGGTATACATAATTTATCACGTATAAATAAACAAGACGTTTCGGCCTGGAACAAGTTCGGCCTTGATCGTACCGATGATATCCAAATCGGCTAATCTACATTTATAGTGGCAAGGTTCTGGTGCAAAAAATAGTTGGCATGCATTTTGTAGCCGGACACACGGACAAAATGATAAATTATAAATATTGAATATACAAATTCAGTTTAAAGGCTTAATTTAATACAAATGATCGTTTTCTAATGTAAAATGCAACAAATGTAAATTTTATTTATATACAATTTTCTGAAACACAAATTATACTGTAATTTCGTATTAGCATTATCTGAGACTACTTCAACTTCAATTACGTTACTTAGTAACATCCGCAAGCAGACATCTCACTAAGGACTATTTACACACGCGCATAGCAGAGCCTCAATTTTTTTAAAAGAATAAACGTATATACACTGTACAATTATGTAGAAGTTTAGTATACTCCCCAGACTGACACCTTAAATGCGCCCAATTCTGGGACGGCTATCACAGGTGGTGGTAGTTGGTTCCATAGTATGATTGTTCGTGGAAAGAATGAGTATTTGTACACATTGACATTTGTCCGAATTGTCTGAAGTTTCCATGCATGCTGACTGTGGCGAGTTGATTTTATTTCTGCCATAGTGGGGTGATGTTGTATAGGCACGGCAATAAGGTGGTGGACTACCTTATACAAGAGGATTACGTCAGATATTTTTCGCCTCTGGTTTAATGTTTCCCAATTTAGATTTTTTACCATTTCTGTTGTGCTGTCTGGTTTTTTGTAATCGTGTGGTTTATTAAGGACAAATCTTGCTGCGTTCTTTTGTACTATTTTAATTTATTTATGTTGTTGTTTGTGTGAGGATTCCAAATTGTTGAGCAATATTCTAATTTCGGTCTCACACGGCTGGTATATGCTCTTTCCTTTACACTAGGTGGACAGTGTTTGAGGTTGCGCTTAAGGAAGCCTAGGACTCTTGATGATTTCTTCACGCGGCAAGTTTGGTCAATGTGCAGATTATACTTCAGGTTGTTGCATAGTTCCACTCCAAGATATGGCTGATGGCTAACCTTTTCAAGAGTTTCACCTTTCACTTTATAGCTGAAATCTGTCTTCGATCTTTCGTTTGTGGCCTGAATTATTGCGCATTTAGAAACGTTGAATTCCATTTGCAATGTGCTGGACCAGTTAACAAGTGTGTCAAGATCTTCTTGCAATAGTTGATGATCATTTTCTGTGTGAATTGGTCTGTAGATTACACAGTCATCTGCAAACAATCTTGCGGTGGAATGGAGATTGTCTGCGATTTCATTGATGAAAACAAGGAAAAATGTCGGTCCAAGTACTGTACCCTGGGGAACCCCCGATGTTACAAAGGAACACCTGGAAGATTCCCCATCTACAACTACCTTTTGGATCCTGTTACTGAGGAATGTATCAATCCATGTTCTGGTTGTTCCACCAATGCCATAATATTGCAACTTCTCTGATAGCCTTTTGTGAGCAACTTTGTCGAAAGCTTTTGCAAAGTCAAGGATTGCTATGTCGACTTGGATATTGTTGTTCATCCATTTGGTGATGTCGTCGGTGGTCACCAGAAGTTGGCTTTCCACGACCTTTTTGCTCTAAACCAATGTTGGTTTTCATTGAGGATATTTTGATCGTCTAGATGGTCCGTAATTTGAGATACTATAATGTGTTTCTAGTACTTTTGATGCCTCTGATGTTATGACTAGTAGTCTGTAGAATATTTGAATGATGATAGTAACTGATTTTTATTAGTGACCTCTGCTAACGGAATATTTGATAAAAAGATTGCGTCATAATAACAACAAACGCGATAGTGCCATATCATTTTTTAGCTCACTTGGCCTAAAAGGCCTAGTGAGCTTTTCTCATCACTTGGCGTCCGTCGTCCGTCGTCGTCGTCCGTCGTCGTCGTTAACTTTTACAAAAATCTTCTCCTCTGAAACTACTGGGCCAAGTTTAAGTTTAACCAAACTTGGCCACAATCATCATTGGGATATCTAGTTTAAAAAATGTGTCCGATGACGCGGCCCGCCAACCAAGATGGCCGACATGGCTAAATATAGAACATAGGGGTAAAATGTAGATTTTGGCTTATATCTCTAAAACCAAATCATTTAAAGCAAATCTAAAAGGAGTAAATTGTTCATCAGGTCAAGATCTATCTGCCCTGAAATTTTCAGACAAATCAGACAACCCGTTATTGGGTTGCTGCTCCTGAATTGGTAATTTTAAGAAAATTTTGCAGTTTTTGGTTATTATCTTACATATTATTATAGATAGAGATAAACTGTACACAGCAATAATGTACAGCAAAGTAAGATCTACAAATAAGTCAACATGACCAAAATGGTTAATTGACCCCTTAAGGAGTTATTGCCCTTTATAGTCAATTTTTAACATTTTTTTGTAAATTTTTTAAATCTTTTACATAAATCTTCTCCTCTGAAACTACTGAGACAAATTTAACTAAACTTGGCCACAATTATCATTAGGGCATCTAGTTTGGAAAATGTGTCCGATGACCCACCCCACCAACCAATATGGCCGCCATGGCTAAAAATAGAACATAGGGATAAAATGCAAGTTTTGTCTATTATTTTTTGAACCGTTATAAATAGAGAAAATCTTAAAGGAGCAAAAATGTTCAGAATAATGAGCTCTACCAATTGTCCATATATGTCAAAACTGTTTCTTATATGAGTTATTGCCTTTTTTACCATTTTTAATTCAGTTTTGCCTATTATCATAAAAAAATGATATTTAGAGAGAAACATTGTTTTTCCATTATGCCTTATAATATGATTTAAATTATAATAGATAAATAAACACTTTAAATCACAAAAATGATCAGCAAGTCAAGATCTATTAAAAAGTCAAATTTTGCCGATATAGTTAGTAGACTGTCACTCTTCATAGGAGTGATTGCCCTTAAATGTGGATTTTTTTTACCCTCTTTTGTGTTTTGAGCAAAAACTAAAGAAGATAGAGAGAAACTAAACAGACTAAAAGATCAGTAATACAAGATCAACAAAATAGAGATTTTTGTCATGAAGTCTTTTCTCGTCTACAATGTTGGAGAGTGTCGACACGGGCTCTTTAGGGCGTCTAGTTTTGTTCACCACCAGACCTCAATGGACTATGGCATGGTATTGGTTGCAAAAATTTATATTTTTCATTTAAATGCAATATTTCTTATTTAATTGGTATATTTCTTCATTTAAATGCAATATTTTTTTATTTGAATAGTATATTTTTTCATTTAAATGCAATATTTTTTATTCAGATGGTATAATTTTTCATTCAAATGGTATAATTTTCGTTCAAATGCAATATTTTTTATTCAATTGGTATAAGATGTCATTTGAATGCAATATTTTTATTCAATAGACAACTTTCGAGTTCGATGCATTTCCGTCAAAAACTCTGGTTTTAGTGAACATCATTCGTGCGTTTAGGGGCATCGTCACTTCCGTTCCAATGTTGAGCAAGTGGTTGGAAAACTATAATGCTATATTGCACGAATTATTCGGCAAATTAAATTCTCATAATTGACAATCATCACTACTGTCATTAGGGAATTGTGATTAAGTACTTACAGAACAAACATTATTTCTAATTTATCCTGCACAATGACGATCACTAAGACGCTTGATGAACGCTAATACTGCAGGGATACAGGCGATCCCCTCTATCTGGTAAATGACGTCATAAAGGCGCGCATAATTGACGAGTTTTTCCCGTGAAGGATGAACTCGAAAGTGGTCTATTGGGATAGTAGTTTTTTATTTATATGCAATACTTGCATTATGGGAAATTCTTTGGCGTCATAAGGTCAAATTTGCAACAACGTTTGTGATTGGTCGGTAATTGTTTGGATTTCTCCCCTTTCTTTCTAAACTTGAGTGACCAAGAATTCAAAAACGCGTCAGAATATCGCCCCTCTAACTAAATTTGGCGTTCGTGCGAGTTCGTGCACTGGCTGTTAATGCCAATTATGGCCAGGACGAGCAAAAAATGCGAGTGACAAGTAATAATAATTAATTTGACACACAACTTGTTCATGGATAGAAACAGATGCCTGCGTGCATGGCAAAAACACCTCCAATGAAAACCTTTTCTGAAGAAACTCTCCTACAGTCTACATATTGAAATAAAAAAAAATACATAGCTAGCCCCCCTCCCCCTTCTAAGTCCAGATACATGTAATCATGACGTCCTTTAGTGCTATATCATTTTTTACTTTTCTTGATCCTCAGAGACGTTGCAGGAAGGCACACATGAAAAAAGTATAAAAAGCATCCAGGACGTTACAATTATTTGGACTAAGCCCCCTCTTTTTTACTACATGTAGAAAAAAAATCACCTAATTACGACAGCAGAACCAGAAACCCACAAGTAGAGACATAAGCTGTTATACTCCGGAACTAATTCTTTAATAAAGACAATTCAGGATAAATTGGAACCAGTTACTAACCCATGTTACAACAATAGTCCTATGACATAGGACTTCACTATATGAGGCGTGAACTTCATATTTAATACTATCTATAATATGTGCTCTCATGTCTTATGCTGCAAATCAT